GGCAATTATATGTGGCAGTCATAAATGTAAACTTTAAATTTTGCAGAAGAAGTACATATAACCACTTAAGCAGCTGGTTGACAGATGCAAGGAATCTCACCAATCCAAATACTGTAAGTTAAACGATATCTAAGATCTAAGCTAACCCCAAAAGGAAAGCCATTTGCTAGTGGGATTTTTGTATTTGAGTACTAAGAATGAGAATCTTTATTTTATTCTTAAATTAATTGAAGAAAACTTAACATTTTTTTCCAGTACTAATTACCCCAGGTCTCACATTTTATATTTGGTGTTTATTCATGTTTGTGGTTGAAAAAAAAGTTATGAATGGATGGTGATCTCATGTCAAGTGGAGACTATGAAATCTGAAACTACCACTTTAAAAGGGATCTGCATTAGTTTCATAAAATGTTACCATTGAAGGAACCTGGACAAAGTGTAGATCTCTCTGCATTATTTCTTACAACTACATGTGAATCTATAATTATCTCAATAAATGTCAATTAAAAGTAAAGAGTTCTTCATGCTTTAAAAAATTAGCTTCTTAGACTGAGAAGATACTGAGATTTTTTTTTAGCAGCCAAGTCGCCATACTAGACTCTGTAGTATAAACTAAAGATAAGTTTGGATCCTTGGCCCACAAAATGTTATAGTCTCGCAAGGAGATTTACCTGTGGGAATACAAATAACTGTGCTGAAAAGCAGAATGAAATATGAGTTAGAATAGAGTGACTGGTGTGCTGATGGGAGCCCAGGATGAGCACAAAAACCTGGCATCTGGAGAAAATCAGCTTTAGAGAGGCGGTAGGGGATTTGAGCTGGGATTTCAGGGATTTTAGTAGATGCTGTTGAGGGTATTTCAGGGCCAAGTAAGAAAAGGCAGAGGTGTGACTAACTCTGAACTTCTCCAGAACAAGGCCTGTGTCTCACTTAGCTTTGTACCCCAGCACCTAGCTGAGGCCCAGTTCAATAAATATGTAATCAGTGGTAACACTGGCTTTTATCAGGAAACAACAATTTAATTATATTGAGAGTCAGTTAACATGGTTTGCCTATTATGACAGGGACTATGCCTAGAACTTTCATATCCATCATTACATTATACTCGCTGTAAGTGTATAAACAAACCTATAGGTTGACTGAAGTAGGTTGTTGTCCTGCTTAACTATCTTCAATTACATTCAGATTAAAAGTTTATTGGACACCAGTTTTTGGAAGTGGGAGGGTTGTATTTTCACATGAAAAGAAGTTAATGGTTGTGGAAATTCCTTTTAGTTGAAACCATCCATTTCTAAAGTATCCATATCTGGATTAGCACATCTGTTTGGAAGGGGGAGAGTGGGTTTGTTAGTTGGTGTCAAATTATAGGCAGAAACAGTCTACTCATAAATCTGTCTCCCCCCCACCCCCCAAAAAAAACCAACAAAAAAACCCCCCACCTATTTCCCAAGACTGCACACTTATTCTTAGAACTTTTCGGAGCTGCCTTTAACTTTGGCCTAACTTCCACTTGTATAAAATGATTCCAAAGTGGATATAGTTGTATGATAGTTTGCCTTGGATTTGAATTCATTGCATATGTGTTTCTACTGACCTCAATGAATAAACATTCGTTATCAGTTGCTACAAACTTAGTCCTGCCAAGGATAATGTGGAGTAGTAGGACGCATTTGTCTGAAGTTCATAGTTTGAGTGTTAAACCTGGGTTCTAATGTCCCTTACCACTAACTCATTAACTGATCTTTGACAAGTCTCTGCCTTATTTGAGCCTTAATTTCTTTACCAGTAGCCTGAAGGAGTTGAATTAGTAGTTTGTAAACTTTTTGAGAGTCCCAAAAACTTGAAAATCTGATGAAAGCTACAAACTTCCTCTTCAGGAACTGTCCTTGTTTACAACATTTTTGTTTCATTCTGTGCTTTCACAGATCCCCTGGAGCTTGTCCATGGACACTTAGTAATCTTAAGTAGATAAATCATAATCTTTGGCCTAGTCCAGGTGTGCCTCATGGGCTATTTTGTGTTTGAATGGCTTGTAAGCTAAGAGTGTTTTTCACATTTTTAAACAATTGTCGAAAACAAAACGAAGAAGCATATATAAAGAAATCATAACATGGGACACAAAAACCTGGAATATATTCTCTCTGCCTATTACAGAAAGTTTGTGAACCCCTGGCCTAGAAGATTGCTGAGAATCCATCTTAATACTAATGGCTTCATGATTCTATAGTCCTGTCTGGTGGATAATTGCTAGTACTACTTTTTCTTATTAGGCCCACATGTTTTTTTCTATCAAGATTTTTTGATTTCAGAATTTTTATGGTTGATTTAAGTTGGTTGCTTTGTTTTAAGATGTCTTTCTTTTGGTCACACATTAGGTAATAATTCTCATAGGAAATAAAGCAGATTTGGAGGCACAGAGAGATGTTACTTATGAAGAAGCCAAACAGTTCGCTGAAGAAAATGGTGGGTTTAAGACATTTAATGGCTTTTTGGGAGGGTCACCCTTGGGAGAATTCCTAAGGATTTTGATCCTGCAAATTATTTAACAATTATTTTTTGATGCAAACTATTCAAATTTCAAGGATGAGGAAATTGCAAAATGTGTTTGAGAATTTATGAGTTGGGGGGAGGAGTACTATTATTCCCTCCATTTCACATTCATATTCTTTCATAAAATATTGAAAGCTGATGGGAAGCTTTAACTTGTATTCAGATGTTGCTAAAGAGAAATGTCCTTGTGAGGTAATTTGAAATGTCCTAATCAGTCTGAAATTTACTTTTAGGCTTATTGTTCCTTGAAGCAAGTGCAAAAACGTAAGTATGGCTAACATTAGATAATTTTCAAATACATGCAAATTTCTCAAATAGAACATAGATATGAAAAAATGTATAATGTATATATACAATTGACCCATAAACAACATGGATGTGAACTGCATGATTCCAATCATGAGGTTTTAAAGAAACATGTATGTTTTTATTGATTTTTAGAGAGTGGGTAAAGGGAGAGGGAGAGAGAGATAGAAACATGGATGAGAGAAACATCATGGATCAGCGGCCTCCTGTATGCCCCCTACTGGGGATCAAACCTGCAACCTGGGCATATGCCCTGACCACAGAACTGGTGACCTCTTGGTTCATGGGTCAACACTCAACCACTGAGCCACATCTGCTGGGCCATATTAGGATTTTTTTTTAAAATATATTTTTATTTCCGAGAGGAAGGGAGAGGGAGGGATAGATAGAAACATCAATGATGAGAATCATTGATTGGCCGCTCCCTTCACGCCCCCTACCGGGGATCAAGCCCACAACCCAGGCATGTGCCCTTGACCTGAATGGAACCCAGGACCCTTCAGACCACAGGCTGATGCTCTATCCACTGAGCCAAACCAGCTAGGGCCATATGAGGATTTTTTAAATTGACCTGTACAGTTCAATTGGCTGGCACAGTGGAAACCACCTAATTCAAGGGACAACTCCATCATTGGGAATTTGCATGTTCAGAGCAGATTTTTGATTGCGAGGAAGTCGGTGCCCCAACCCCCGTCACGTTGTTCCAGGGTCACCTGTACATAAAATGTATGAGACATAAATACCTAATGCTTATGGCTAGAGGAACAGTAAGCAATCCTTTGCTTCCTATTTGACATTTCAAAATAATATTTTTTTGTTACTTTACCTAAAAGATTCTACCTAGATTGCCCACTGGTAAGCCATGTTAATAAATGAAATTGTGTAAACATTTCAAGTGTTTGACTTTCACAACTGAGGTTGAGTTTGGCATCCTGGACTCAAGCTTGGTCAACCTACTTAATACTTCTGATCATGATAAAAAGCATGAGTTAAGGAAATACTCAATGTCTAAGGGTAATTAGAAGCATAATTAACATTTTCTAATTATTATCCCACTAGAGGCCCGGTACGCAAAAATTTGTGTACTCGCTGCCCGCAGCTGGCCCTGCCCCCTGCCCCTACCCACTCCCGGTTTCCCATTCGCCATAGGGTGATTGGTGCCTGATGGCCAGGGGAAGGGACTAAGAGGTCAGCTGTTCCCGCCCGCTCACCGGCCCTGCCCCTGTCTCGGGTGGCCATCAAGCTATCAGAGTCTGCCAGCCAGCAAAAGGGACTAAGAGGTGGTCAGTGTGTGTCATAGTGACTGGTTATTCCCAGTGGTTGTTCTGCCATTTGGGTCAGTTTGCATATTACCCTTTTATTATATAGGATGTCCATTTAAGTCAAAAATTCCTTGCATTGGTTAGAAGCTAGCTCCTTTTTTATTCATCTGTACTGTTAGTCCTAAGAGAATTGAAGTGTGAATATGGCTAAGCATGAATATGCCATCATCACATGATAAAAACAGTACAGTTCATGCTTGGCTAATCAGACTCTTCAGATCCAGGAATCATGTGTGCATGTTTGGAGATTTCATTTCTGGTAAAATATCATTACAGAAATGACCTATTTTAACTGTTATATTAATATGTTAGCATTTTAATGACTAGAATACATACAGTTATCAAATAGGGTTTGTAGAAATAGCTCAGTACTGTGTTTATATGCTTTCCACAGAAAATATTTCCCCATGTTGTTCTCTTAGCTCAGTCTTCTGGTAATCTCTTATTAGATAACAGTGGCTAAGTTGAAGACATCATGGCAGTTGACTAAAGTTTAGCAAAAGGTCAGTGTATAATGTCTTATCTTTTGTAGAAAAATGTGGTTCTCGAATAAAGTTGTCAATTGCCTCTTAGGGGAGAGAACGTAGAAGATGCTTTCCTCGAGGCTGCCAAGAAAATCTATCAGAACATTCAGGATGGAAGCCTGGATCTGAATGCTGCCGAGTCTGGTGTACAGCACAAACCCTCAGCTCCGCAGGGAGGCCGGCTAACCAGTGAACCCCAACCCCAGAGAGAAGGCTGTGGCTGCTAGTGACCTCTTTGCTGTGGCTCTCATTTGACCTTTCACCTCTGTCTGTTGGAAGCAGTACTTTTTACTGCCTCGTTGTCTTCTGTACATCTTACTGGGTTTAATTAAAAAAACAAAAGAAAAAACAACTCTGTTTAAAAACAGTTTAACACAATACTAAACTGCTAAACAACTAGGTGTAATCAGGTTATCAAAAGCAAGTAATCTCTCCTGCATGGTATATCTAGACTTTTTTTCCCCTTGATTGTCCTCATGTTAGGTATGTCACCAATACATGATTTAAACTGAGCACTGATGCTGGACTTCATGATTTTTACCCCTCCCTCTTTTTGGCAGGGCTTTGTCTCACTGTACGGTTTAATTTGATATCTTAAGCCTTTCTCCCCATCTTTAACTGTTCAAGTATGTCTGTTGTAACCAAGAAGTTTATTGCTGTGAAATGGCTTCTGGTGATAGAGAAGGGGTTCTGTAACTGCTTTGTTTTGTTTTTGTCAGATAAATTCCCTGTTGTGTGGGTGGCATTTTTCTTGAGGAGGTTTGCTTCTGTCTTAGCCTTGTACAGGGAAAACATTCACTTATCAGCTTCTCTCTTGTGCTTAATTAATAGCTTTATTTTTTTTTTACATTTTATCCTTTCTCTTTAGCAGAAAGTAAATATGTATAAATTTTGAAGGAACTGAACTAACAATACATTCTGTGTATATTATTTTAATGAAGAAAATAAATTGATTACTGGCATTGGAACAGTATAAAATACCAGTTTGTACAGTAAGACCTATATGTGACCATGTTACTCCCTTCCATTTCACACAAGGAAATAGACACAACTGCAGTTCACAAGTAATACTGGCTCCACCCATTGGTGCTGGCAATTTGGGGACATTATGCTGTAAAGAGCTCCTAGCGTGAGAGGATTAACACTAGCTCATCTTTGTTCATCTTTGCACTGTGGCTTACCTGCAGATTTTCTTAACTGTTCTTGTGCAATCAACAATGTGCAAACCTGCTTTTCTCTTTTTTGTAAACATTTTGCATTACAGGCTGCATTTCTTGCCTTACTGTATAGAAAAAGAAAAAAGGCTGGGTTTATTATTGCACATTTTAAGCTTTTATACCTTTATCTTCTTGGAATGGTTGAGATTCTGAACCATAGGTCTGCTGTTAAGGGATTTTAAATTGTGCATTTTTAACACTACAGTGAAATAATTTAAGATATCCCTTGTGTTCTTAAGTATGAAGTGCTATTTTTGGTCATGTTGGCATAAATTGTTTTATAAAAGGGAAAGTGTTTCTAACAGTGTTTCAATGTTTGTGCTGATACAAAGTAAGTTATTACTTGAGATGGTTTGGCCACTGAAGAATACAGTATTGCAAGGGAAACAATCTTATTTCTTTAGGTAAGAAACTTAGGTTTTACCAAGTTCTTTACTTCTATTGACTGATTTCTGAGGTTAAAGATCAGGCTGGGAATTCAGAAGTTATTGAAGTACAGGATAGGTAAACCTCGGTAGATTATATAAAATACACTCAGCTCAACTGCTGTGTTTAAAATACACATTTTAAATCCCTCTTTACAGACACTAAAGTAAAAAAAAAATACAACTTTCTGGGTTGTAAACATGGTAGTACCAGAGTATTGTATAGTCAACATTAAATTAAGGTAGCAATCACAAACTAAAGACCGTGGCTTGTTTAGGTGCAATACCCTGATTTCCAAAGTTAGTTACAGTGGGTCTTAATGTTTTGTGACAGGATTTATTCAGACTGCTGTACTCTTCATTTGATGTAACAAAATGCTATTAATCTGAATATTTGTAAATAAAGTACCTGTATCTAGATTAAATTAAAATTGTTTGTATTATTTTCTGAACTATGATAGGATTTCATATTTTCTTCAGGTAAACAATTATTTAGCGTAAGTTGTCAGTTTTTGCAGAATTATCCTTATTTGTTGGTAGAGAAGTCTAGTACATAGCATATAAATCCACATCACTGAGTTTTTATCTTTGTGTTTAGATCACACTTGCAGTGTTTTTAGTCAACCTTTTTCAGTGTGAGACCAGCACATTTGGTGCCTGATGGTGTTCTCCCTTCACTGTACTTGGGGCCAAATTCTGTAATTTTCATGTTTAATTCCCTACAATAAACTTGGGTGCTCAAAAATAAAGGAGCAAATTGTCATATTGTAACATTCATGTGCCAGACACTGGCAAGTGCACTTTGGAGAGAATGTGAAATTCTTTTAATTTTTAATCCATGAGAGTTTACTGCTTATGTGGTCACCTGCTTCTCTGGGTTACTCATTGCCCTTGCACCTATGAGGGAGGAGGCCCTCCTGCTTAGTAATTGGTGCTTAGTACCTGACATTCCACAATGTTCAAGTATTTTCCATGGATAAGTACTTGATGCAATAACCTTGATTTTTGGGGCGGGGGGGGCTTGATGATACATAATACTAGTTAGAGGTAATAAACTTTCTTTGGAAAAAAGTTTTGGAACCAGGTGTTTGGCTTGATACACTAATTACCTCACTTCTTTCATTCCAGAACACTCAAAGTTTTGAGAACTTGGTTGCCCACACAACTGTTTTAGGTATGATCTTTATTTGTGGTGGTTTGGTTCAGTTCACTACCCTTAAACAGAAGACTTAATGATTACCTTCCATTTCCTGTTTATTTGGGAATATAGAGAGGGTTCATGTGGTAGTTTAGAAAGAAGTTATTTTACCCTCACATACAGTACATGGAAAAAACAAGAAAATGTGTCCCTGAAAGATTTCGACAACTGAATAAGCCAGGATTTTAAGCATTTTGTTAAGATTTGTGAAAATCAAACCAAGAAGAATGTAAGTACAAAAGATACTACCAAATCAATTTTTGTTTTGGAATTAGATGCCTTCTAGAACTTGCTATGTACTATTCCATTGTCTTCATTGTACTATATTTATCCCATATCTTAATGGTCCAGTTGTAGCCAAACAACTTTTTAGGAATATAAACCTAAGTGATGAGGATTACTGCACTGTTCTTCTGTATTGTAGAAACATGGCGTAACTATGTGCTATGGATCAGAAGTTGTCTAGGGGGCCTAGAAAAGAGTCCTTGGAAATATTTTAAAACCTAATCTATTTCATGAGGTTTCATACTTCACTATCCCATGGGAATAATTCTGTTGCCACACACTTCATTATGACCAAGAGCTGCTATTCTTATTTTTAGAGAAATGTATTTCTATACCATGGAGTTGAGGCATTAGTTACAGTACTTCAAAAATTTTTAAGTCTGAACACAGTTTGAATTTACCCTGGGTCAGCTTCTCTACTTTTCCACCAAAGTTTTGGTCGAGGAAAAGAACCTGAAATGTAATAGTTTAATAATTGGTATTTCAAAAGATGAAACATATTCTCTGATAGGTACAACATACTTCAACCTCCAAACAAATAGGAAACTACTTGAAAGATTGTCATTTCTTAGAATTAAGGTAATAATATGATAGCTTTATTGTATAACTGTGAAATGTAAAGTCAGACGATAGCCCACATTTATTTTACCTTTTATTTTCATACGAAAATAGATTTTTAAGCAAAATCCAAAAATAACCTTTGACACTGAATGAAGAGGGGCCTAAGTATATTTTTTTGTTTGTAACTAAAGATTTTATCGCTTTATAGATTCCAATTTGCAGTTACATTCAGCATCGGTTTTATAATAGCACATTTCAAAGATAAAAAATAAAAATGCTCAGCAATCTAGAACCCTGTTTTAATTTATACAGCTGTTCCCATATGTGCACATGACTTACAAAAACCCTGGCCTTCATGGTTCAAGTGCGATAAACTACAGTAGAATTTCAGCATCTGAATTCACTGGATCTTGATAAAAACTAAGTGGCATTCCAACAATGAAGTTAGTGAGGTAGTGGAGGTCTTTCCTCAGATTTATGCAAGACAGTATTCCTCATCTGGCTGAACCATTTTTTCCTACAGTAAGACAAAGAAAGGATGAATTCTTGCAACAGTAAAAACAGGTCTTATATAAATTAACAGAACAAAGTGATACCATAAAGGCTAATAGGGAAAATATATATTTGAGTACTTCTTTGGAAAAATATTTTAAAATGAAAGTTGAGAGGTTACTTTTCTTAAGATTATAAGCTAAAATTCAAGATCTTCCAACTGAAAGTGCTGGTTAAAATAACTGTTTGTGGAGAACCGAAGATGGCGGCATAGGTTAACACCAGAGATTGCCGCCTGGAACAACCAAGTCAAATTAAGCTTGATCCAGGGAAAGGACAACGTCCAGAGCCACAGGAGGGCTGGCTGAGTGGAAATTCTACAACTAGGAGTAAAGAGAATATTATATCCAGACTCAGAGGCGGCGCAGTGCTGAAGTGAAATTCTGAGGTACGAGTGCGCGCGGAGCGGGGCTGGCGGCGCGGCGCGGAGGGAGCGGCGCAAACAATCGGGAGGGAGTCGCAGACTCTGAGCTCCAGATCCGGGCAAGTCGCTAGGGACGCAGACGGGAGGGGTGGG